GTGGAGCGCCTGCTGCTGCTGGCCATGCCCTTGATGGAGACGCAGAGTGTTTTCTCATGGGCTGGAGCCATTCCCATGGCCGAGTGCTCAGGATTTAAGGGCTTTATGTTGGCGGGTCCCTACCTCAGAATCACAGAATGGTCAAGGTGGGAAGGGACCTCTGGAGATCATCCAGTCCAACCCCCCCTCCACCAGAGCAGGGTCACCTACAGCAGGTAAAAAATCTCTGTACAGTCTTGGAAGAGCATCACACCGCCACGGAGATGGGGCATGCCCAGGCGTGGGATGGACCCCAGGATGGGGGATGCTGGGGGCTGGCCAGGCATGGCGGTGCGGAAGCCACCGCGCCGGGCAGGAAGCGCTTGCGAAGGAGGATGGGAAGGCAACGCATGGCAATGGCACCTACAACCGCTGTACTCCTCCCTCCACCACTGCCGCCCCAATTAGCGCACGTCCGCCCGGGGAATGAGGGGAATTAGGAGGAAAATTGCTCTGAATCACCCTGAGCCAGTCCCTTCCGCCGGCTACTCCCTCCGAGCCTGCTGCCACCACGGTGCCATCCTGCGGTGGCACGTCCCCATCCGCAGCAGCGGCAGGTTGGCTTTGCCGGGCTCCGGGCACCGGGGGGATGCACTTCAGGGCTGTATTTGGGATGACAAGGCAACTGGGCACAGCCGGTGGCACAATTTACGCCGCAGTCTTTTGGGGTACAGCCTTGGGGTACAGGGTTGCTTAGCACAAACCCCACAGAGAGACCGACATCCCCATGACATCTCTCCCATGAGGTGGAGCGCCTGCTGCTGCTGGCCATGCCCTTGATGGAGACGCAGAGTGTTTTCTCATGGGCTGGAGCCATTCCCATGGCCGAGTGCTCAGGATTTAAGGGCTTTATGTTGGCGGGTCCCTACCTCAGAATCACAGAATGGTCAAGGTGGGAAGGGACCTCTGGAGATCATCCAGTCCAACCCCCCCTCCACCAGAGCAGGGTCACCTACAGCAGGTAAAAAATCTCTGTACAGTCTTGGAAGAGCATCACACCGCCACGGAGATGGGGCATGCCCAGGCGTGGGATGGACCCCAGGATGGGGGATGCTGGGGGCTGGCCAGGCATGGCGGTGCGGAAGCCACCGCGCCGGGCAGGAAGCGCTTGCGAAGGAGGATGGGAAGGCAACGCATGGCAATGGCACCTACAACCGCTGTACTCCTCCCTCCACCACTGCCGCCCCAATTAGCGCACGTCCGCCCGGGGAATGAGGGGAATTAGGAGGAAAATTGCTCTGAATCACCCTGAGCCAGTCCCTTCCGCCGGCTACTCCCTCCGAGCCTGCTGCCACCACGGTGCCATCCTGCGGTGGCACGTCCCCATCCGCAGCAGCGTCAGGTTGGCTTTGCCGGGCTCTGGGCACAGGTTTGCCCACGATGGTGGGTCGCTTCCTGGCCATGGGCCTCACTGGCACCCCAGGACCGACCAGTTTTACCCCACTGTGGCTCATCCCGATCAGCGTGTCTAGACTGATAACGAATGTGATGCGTACAGCGCATCAAAGTCCCCACTTGCCACAGCGCTGGGTGGGGATTGCGCAACCCATTCTGTGTCAGCCACCACCGGGCTTCTGACCCCTCATGGAAGGGTCTGTTAGGGGGTGAAGGGGGTCTGCAGCAGATGGAGGGCGTCTGCAGCAGGTGGAGGGGGTCCATGGTGGGCAGGGGGAGCAGGCAGGATGGGGATGTTGGGGATGGGATGGGTCCCAGCTGGGAGACACAGCTCAGACCCAGCTGGATCCCATCTCCTCCTCATAAAACCCAGCCCTGTAGGCTTCAACCTCTTTTCCCCAGCTTGTGAGATTTGAGAGGGTGGGGGGGTCAGCGGTGTGAGGAGCTGGCAGGGTCACCCCAAAGCTGTTTTGTTGGGACAGGACAGGGTAGCAGTTAGGGGAGACATAGTCCTTAGGTAGGTTCTGGGCTGGGACCCTTGGCAGGGGGCGAATGCAAGCTGATGGTGTTGCACCTCACCAGGGCAAAGCTCAGGGAGAAGGATGTGGGGTACAACACCCCCCACCCAAACAGGGAAAGGAGGTAAATTTAGCATTTATCTGTATCCACCATTGACCTGCTGCTTTGAGCTGTACCCAGGAGGAGCTGCGGTGCTTCTCCTTTCTCCTGCTCCTGTAGGACACAGGTAAGGAGAGCCAATGTGGTGGTGTTGAGAAAGAAAAGAGTCTTTACCCGCAAAACTGTGTGGTGGCTTGAGCTGAGGGGTGTGAGAGAGGAGGTTTGGGTGTCTGCAAGTCGGTGCACGTCCTTGTGCTGCCAGCTTAGCCCCAAAATTCCATTTTTGTTTCTGACACGTAAATTAGTGTAATCCTACTTATTGCGAGCAGCGCTGGTGGTGCAGAAATAGGGGATGTGATGAATAGGGTGGGGGGGTCACAGTACAGGGCTCTGCCTGCCATCGATGGGACAGGGCGCAACCCTGGGGAGCGAGACAAGACTGTGGTGTTCCCCGGGTTGCTCCAGGGCTGGTGGCCACCCCAGCAGCCTCGGTGGCACATGCCACCAGGTGGCAGCAGGAACCTGTCGCACACCATGCTTGCAAAGGTGGAATCCTTTAGCTATAAGCTGGGGGTGAAGGCAGGTGGGGCCGGGGGCTGCATACCTGCTTGGTGCTGCTGGAGAGCTGCTCCTGGGGCAGCAAGCAAGGCTGGAAGAACCCAGGGGCCATCCCCATCCTCAAACAGTGTGGCCATGGTCAGCAGAGCACCATGCCCATCTGCCTGACCCAGCATCCCTCTGCAGCACGAGATACAGTGCGGCTGGGGTGTATCCAACACCTTCTTCCTTGTATTGCTTTGATATCTCCTTTGTTGGGGATCTGTGAGTTCTGGATGAAGGGATGTGGGGCTTGGACTAGATGTTCTCCAGAGGTCCCTTCCAACCCCGCCCTGTTCTGTGATTCTGTATGGATTTGGGGACCGCTCTGCTATTATGTGAGGAACCAGCAATCACCTCTGCTTGCTCGCAGCCCTGTGTTGGTGTCCTTGGCCCTGTTGCGCTCGGAGTGTGTGGTGGCTCGTTCTTCACCACCTCCGGTGTGATGGTCCAACAGCCCCGGTGGGTGACACAACAGGAGTCCCGCACCCCGGGGTTTCAGGGGAGCGTGAAGTCCCGCTGGGTTGGCAAATATCCTGTTGCACCAGCACCGCTGATGAGGCTGGTTCCTGCCTAGATCCTAGGGGGAAAGTCCCAGGGTGGTTTGTGGGTGCCCCCAGCACCCAGATTTGTGTGCTCAGCCCCTGCACAGGGAGATCCCTCCGCTGCAGAGAGCAGAAGGGCTGACCACTCACCGGCAGGGCACTGAGCTCCTGAAAAGCTGATCAGCTGCACATGGGACCTCAACCACCCTTGGCCCCGAAGCTGGGCATCCCCTTATTGGTCTTTCCTACCAAGTAATGGGTGGTGGGATAAGAGGAGATGGCCTCAAGTTGAGACAAGGGAGGTTTAGATTGGATATTAGGAAAAATTCCTTTAATGAAAGGATTGTCAAGCATTAGAACAGGTTGCCCAGGGAAGCAGTGGAGTCAACATCCCTGGAGGTACTTAAAAGATGAGTAGATATAGTGCTGAGGGACACGGTTTAGTGGTAACTTAGCAGAGTTGGGTTAACAGTTGGACTTGATGATGTTAAAGGTCCCTTCCAACCAAAATGATTCAATGATTCTTATGGGACCAGCCCTGGGAACTGTTTGGTTCTAGGCTGGGTAGTGGCAATGAACCAGCTCCGCTTTCTCCCTTGGGTGCAGGGCTCTTGTCTGCTCCTAAAGTGCTGTAGGATGGGGTGCAGACTTATTTTGGGGTGCAGGACCTGACTCCAGAGGGGACTTACGACCCTGTGCAGGCTCAGGCAAGAGCTGAGCTGACTCTGGCCACTGCAACCCTTTTTTACCTTGTAAGAAGGTGTTTGACACTTCAGATGTCAAAATTGACTCCGGAGGAAGCTGAAGCAACCTGGCCAGGGGTGGTGAAGCAAGCTTGCAGCAGTCTTGTGTTAACCCGGGGAGAGGGGAGCGCTTGCTTCAGTGCTGCTGGTTTGGGGAAGCTGGTGGCAGGTTCCTTTGCAGAGCTTGGGCGATTTCAGGGCTTTGACTCACCCTTAGGAAATCACAACTGTTCCTTTCTTCCCTCCTCCCCCCCCCCGCCTCTAAAAGACATCTGCGAGTCATAGCCAGGCTCTAAGCATCCACGGTGGGAGGCTGCTCAGCAGCATCGTAAGCGTTTCCAGCCACCCACTCTGGAAAGCAGCTATTAACAAGGGACAACTCCTCGGTGTAAACTCGAGACGCTCTGAGTGAGGAGTTGGGGTTGTTCTCGGTTCTTTCCCGCACAAAACCCAGCAGTCGCACCTTGTGCTGGCTGCAGCACTAAAATTAAATGCTCCCAGCCCCATACCAGGGCCTTGCAGAGCAAAAGCACCCTAAAAAAAGGGTGCTCCTCCAGAAAAGAGGGCTCATCCATCCCCATCCTTCCTTCTAGCTCTTGCCTATCCCCACAGCTCAGTTCTAGGAGACATGCAGAGTGTTTTCAGGCCAAAAACAGGCTTTTTCTTTTTTTTCTAGTTGGAAATGCAAAGACACCTCAAATTATGCTGCCCTCCCTGACCCAAGGAACACATAATGTAAGGAGTATTGTGAGCGCCCACTGCAATGGACCCTGCTCTCCCCAGGTGTCTCGCCTCGTCCCCCCGAAAAACCGCAGCCTGTCTCTGGGGTGGATTTGCCTGGCTTAAAGCCATGCTGGGAGAGAGCAAGGCGTGGGACTCGCCTCCAGGAAAACCCACGTGGACACACATAAGAGCTTTGACAGCCTCAGGGCAAATCTTTATTTGGCAGCAAAAACATCAAACTTGAAGGAAGGGAAGGAGGAAGGTGGGTGGAGAGAGGGATGGAGGGGAGAAAGCCGGGGGTTGCAAACACTGATGGGCGCCTTCAGCTGGGGACCACACCTCAGTGGTGGTGTTGGTGCTGGTGTTTGTGCTGCTGCTGGTGGTCCTCGACGTCGTGGAGGTGCTCGTGGGTGGCAATGGTGACACGGGTGATCAGCAACATCACCTCGCAGAAGCTGATCTGCGCATCCTTGTTGATATCGAGGTCCTTCATGATTTCGTCGATGGTGGCCTTGTTCTTCACGTGCTGCAAAGGAAGGGACAGGGTGAGGGCAAAGTCCTGTCATTCACAGCTCAAGCCTCCCCCCAGCCTCTCTGGGACCCTCGCAGGTCCCAGGTCCTTGAGAGTCTGGTGCTGTGTGTGGCTCCATCCTTGTCCCATCACCACCCATTGCTTTGGGTAGAGCAACGATTCACCCATGGCAATGAAGTAATGGGAGAGCAGCAGGCTAGCATCACCTCAAGGACACCATGCAACGCGGAAGCCGATGAAGGCAGCAGTGTTACGTCAGCCACAAACCTCTCCTTTAGCACGTTGCGTTAAAAACACTTCCCGCTTTAGCGAAGCGAGTTCCAAGAAAAAACAAAATGGGCTTTTTGGCTGATGTTCCTGACATCACCACTCCTAGACAGCAAAGGAGCTCTTGGGCAATATGATCCCAATTTTTGCAGATAAGGGGATGAGGGTAAATAACTGGCTGCAGGTTGGCCCAGACCTGTGTGGGATTCCTTCCTCTGTCTTTACGGAGCATGTTTGGAAAGCGGCAGTTGGGTAGGGAGGCTCTGGGCAGAAGGTGTTGGGGCAGGAGGGCAGAGTGGGAAGGGGGTGAATCCATCCCCTGGGGGTATTCTGGCAACGGAGTCCAGCCCGGCTCCCTCCCCACGTGGGTCATGAGAAACCCCACTCACCCTCAGGTAGTTCACAAGCTGCTTCTCAATTAGGAGCTTCAGCTCCCTCTTGGTCAGGGTGTCTCTGTCCCCCTCCCGTCTTGAGTACTGGTGGAAGACATCAATGATGACATCCATGGCCTTCTCCAGCTCGGAGAGGGGTTCCTGGGTCTGGGAGGTCTGGAAGAGAAAAGACTACACTGAAAAATGTCAGGAGCAACAATAGATGGGGCAGTCTGATGTAAACCGGTGAGGCTCCGGTACAGCCACTGGCTGCACGCCAGATGGGGACGCAGCCTGGCGTTGTTCAGCCATTCTTTTTGGGGGATAAATTCCAGCTGTTTGAGTTTTCCCTGGTCTATAAGGCAAAGGAGACTGAAGGGGGTTGCAGCCTTTGTCTGCTCCTGCTCTGGGATGTGCAACTACAGATGATAGCTGAGAGCTGATTTCCCCCCAAAACATGCCCTTTGTAAGTCAGGCACTGTTGGAGCAAGTCTCCCAAAATAGCTGGTGGCACTGCAAAAGCCTCTGTAGAGACACAGAGTATGCGATCTGATGTCCAGGAGCCCCATTGGTGGTTGGACTCTGCTGTGGGGAACTTCTTCCAGGAGGAGACGTCTCTCCTTGTGGGTTGCGCTCGGATGAGCCTGAGTGGAGATGGTTGTCCTCTGCCAGCAACTGATGGCAGCACACGCAGTGAGGAGAGGCTCCTCAAAGGTCCTTGCACCTCCGATGGCCCAACTGGCACCTGCAAAAGAGCATGGAGACCTTAAATGCCCGAGTCACCACTGGACTTGCCTTGCTCATCTTGGCGAAGTAGCGAGATCCACTTGGGCTGGAGCAGGTTTGGTCCCAAGCGTGACATCTCTTATAGCCTGCCCGTCAGCCTGCCCCGCTCCACCGGTTGTGAAATGTCTCTGTTTCATCCAATTCCAGTCCGTCTTCATTACATACTTGTGCGTTGCTTAAGGCTTCGGGGTAGTTCCTTAAAAGGGGTCTTTGTGGCTTTTTCTGCAAGGTCGGTGTGTCACGTACTCTGCCAGGGAGGTGGCCAGCGCATGTCCATGTCCCCTTCACCCCCTCCACCTGGCTACTGGGGCTGTGATTCTCCAACAACTCTCGACAGAAGCCCATTCCCCTCGCTGCCTTTGATTTCACCCATTTTACTCCTCTCTATAGAGTGTCTTTTCATGCCACGAAGTAAAGGGGACCCACAGCGTCATGCCTGTGATTCTCCGAAGACCCAGCACTGCTTGGGCCCGTAGCATCCCCATCCTTGCAGACCTGGTGTGCACAAGCACCACGTGGTCCTGTGCACCCAAAAACATCCCACTGTCCCACTGCTTGGCGCAGCCCAGCACTGACAGCAATGCCGGGGTTGCCTGTGTGACACGGGGATGGAGCCGGTGCTGAGGGCAGAGGGAGCAGCTCTTTATGAAAGACAAATAATAACACGGGGCGGGTTCCCAACATGGTGGGGCTCCTGGAACTTCATTTCAACTCTTCAGGTTAGCAACAGCCTGTGCCAAGGGTGGTTTCTCCCCACCCAAGGTATGCTCTGAGCCGTGGAGACCAGGTGTGGCTGAAAGGTGTATGTTTACTCTTTTAGGACTCTATCCTGGCTTTGTGGCTTTTTTTTTGTTGTTGTTGTTTCTGGGTTGCAGAGGCTCAGAGCAGCTAAGATCAGGAGTAAAACGAGATTTTCCGGCGCTTCTTCATGAAAATGCACAGCCTGCTGATTCAGCTGGCTTGTTTGGGGGGGGTTTGTTTAACCTGCCAAACACGATGCTAATCTCAGACACAAAGTGGAGGTCAAAACGGGGCCATGGACCTGGGGCAAGATCCAGGAGCTCCAGATAAGCTGACACAGGGCAGCACCATGCAGGGAGATGCTCGGGGATGCAGCCCTGGTCCACACGCCGTGGCCGCCCAGACCCCAGCCCTGCCCGGTGGGGGTGCAGTGCATTTCACAACAGGAGTGCTTTGATGCACAAAACAGCTGGAGAAGGGCCGGGGCATTTCACAACAGGGTGTCAGGGACCATCCGCTCAGTTGCAGCATTTTCTAGTAATTTCGGGGAACCATACTTTTGGTCATTTTTCATTGTGAAGGTGGGGAAGAGCAAGGAGTTTCACAACAGGGTGTCAGGGACCATCTGCTCTGTTGCAGCATTTTCTAGTAATTTCGGGAAACCATACTTTTGGTCATTTTATCATTGTGAAGGTGGGGAAGAGCAAGGAGGGGTTACAGGGTGTGGGATACGCCAGGGATTTCCAAGAGGAATAGTAGCTAGACCCTCAGATGTGCCCACCAAGCAGCAGGGATGAGACCCCAGGTCCAGAGGGGACCACAGAGATGCTGGGAGGGCTGGAGCTCCTCTGCTGGGAGAGTTGGGGGGGTTCAGCCTGGAGAAGAGAAGGCCAAAAAGGGGAGAGCTCAGAGCCCCTTCCAGTGCCTAAAGGGGCTCCAGGAGAGCTGGGGGGGGACTCTGGATCGGGGAGGGGAGCCGTGGGACGAGGGGGAACGCTTTGACACTGACAGAGGGGAGATTGAGGTGAGATCTGGGGAAGAAATTGTTGGCTGTGCGGGTGGTGATCCCCTGGGGCAGGTTGCCCCGAGAAGCTGTGGCTGCCCCATCCCTGGAGGTGTTCAAGGCCAGGTTGGACGGGGCTTGGGGCAACCTGGGCTGGGGGGAGGTGGCCCTGCCCAGGACAAGAGGGTTGGAACGAGATGAGCTTTGTGGTCCCTTCCAACCCAAACCATTCTATGACTCTATGATTTCGTTTTTAAATGCCAGTGCAGACACTAAGGTGACCAGGGAGCCTGGGTAGCACTTTGGGTCACAGGAACATGTGGTAGCACGACTTCTTGCCTGTCCCTGCAGGTCTCCTTGCAGGGGGAGCCTCTGTGTCCAGCAATGCCTGTAAGCCATGCTGAAGTGGCTGCAGCAACCCACAATCCTGGCCACAAGGCCACCAAGGTTGAGCAAGCATCTACTTTCTGGAGCTGCAGAGGGGAAGGAGTGGGGAAGAAGGCATCAGGTGGCACACAAGCAACCCGATAGCCGTGGCAAGTGAAAGATCTGGTTCACAGTGACTGGGGTTGGTTGTGCCCCGAGGAGCTGAGCCCTGGCAGGACACCCCATGCTTGACAGTCATTGCAAAACTCTTTCAAAATACACGTTTATGGGCAAGTGGCTGGCTGATGCGGGAAGAGGGCACGGCAGGGTTTGTCACTCTGCGGTTTGTCGTGTTTCACAGCAGATTTTAGCCCAGGATCAGGACAGGGCGTATGTTTTGGTTGTTAGATTTGGGTTTAGCTTGGGGAAGCAAGGGGCTGCACACCTTTGAGCATCACCACACCAGCGATGTTCCAACTATCACCTCACAGGAGCAGCCACCACAGGAGGTGGGGCAACCTACAGGTTTTCCCCATCCTGGAGCCACAGGGGAAAGGATTTCCTGGTCCTTTAGCTCGAGCCAAAAAGCATTCACGTGTGTCTCGGCCATATCAAACAGCTACAAACTCAGCTGTTTGGCAGGCACCACCTTGGTCCAGCCCAAAGGGAGGTGGGAGCCTGTCCCCAGGAAAACGAACTGCTGGAGAGGGTCCAGTAAAGGGCTACAAAGATGCTGGGGGACTGGAACATCTCTCTTATGAGGAAAGGCTGAGGGATGTGGGACTTTTTAGGCTGGAGAAGAGAAGACTGAGGGGGGATCTCATCAATGCTTATCAATCCTTCAAGGGAGGTGCCAGGGGAATGGGCACAGTCTGTTTCCAGTGGTGCCCAGTGACAGGACAAGAGGGAACGGGCACAAACATGACCATGGGCAGTTCCATCTCAGCCTGAGGAGGGCCTTCTCTGCTGTGAGGGCGGCAGAGCAGTGGCACAGGCTGCCCAGAGAGGTGGGGGAGTCTCCCCCTCTGGAGCCATCCCAAACCCGCCTGGACGCTGTCCTGTGCCACTGCTGGAGTGCCCCTGCTCTGGTGGGGGGTGGGATGGGGGAGCTCCAGAGGGCCCTTCCAACCATTACCATTCTGAGATTCTGTTCCAACCGCATGGCACAACTGCTTGCAGGGTGCTGGACCCTCTCCAAGCCCTCCTGGAGCTCTGGCAGGTTGCAGGGCTGGATTTGGCCATTGCACTTGCCGTTCCTCTCTGTGCTGCAACATCAGAAGTGTCACGCTCTCTTGTGTTGGGGCAGCTGCCTGCTCAGCCCCATGGGGTGGTGGTACCCAAGCACTCAGTGAGGGGGGAAAAAAACAGTGCATTTATTACCCAGAAATGGTTTGTCAGTGCTGTGAGACATCTCCCAGATGGCTCTGCCAGGGACAAGTTCTTCATGCCCTGCTGGAGGCCGTCAGGGTTTCGGTGAGAATATTTTACTGGTGGAAAACTCCAAGATGGAAACCATCCGGGCGTTTCATCTTGGCTGGGTAGCAAGTGATTCAGCAGGGTTGGGAGGCAGCACTCTGGATGACTTGCCTGTGTGGGAAAACTCTGAAATTTGAGTTTTCATTGGGATTTGGGGAGAAAAGTTTAAACCTCAGAATTTCCCACGGACTAGAAGTTATATATATGGATAGTAACTGTTGTGTGTATTTTTATTTTTTTTTCCTAAGAGCGCCCTGGCTTGTTCTTGTGGTAAAGGCTGTGTTCTGTTGTGAACTGCAGTTGTCATGGGTATTAACTCATTTTTCCTGCTTACGGGTGATTCTGCATCCAGAGGACACGCTTGGCATGGCCAAAGGGGGGGAAAAAAAAAAATAAAGCTGGATGAGGATGAGCAAAACAGGAGATGCTTCCCCAGGCTAGGCTGCCTCTGCTCTTCCCAGTCTAGGCAGAAAACTCCCTCTGCCAAGAGAAAAACCTCTAATACAACTTTTTACTAGGGCATGTAGTGATAGGATGAGGGGGAATAGCTTTAAACTGGAAGAGGGCAGGTTTAGATTAAACATTAGGAAGAAATTTTTTACTTTGAGGATTGTAAGGCACTGGAACAGCTTGCCCGGAAAGGTTGTTGAGGCCCTGGAGGTGTTCAAGGCCAGGCTGGACGCGGCCTTGGGTAACCTGGGCTGGTGGGAGGTGTCCCTGTCTATGGCAGGGGAGTTAGAACTCGATGATCTTCAAGGTCCTTTCCAACCTAAATCCTTCTATGATTCTATGAACTGCTGTATGTTGCAGCTGAGCGTTAAAACCCTTGCGGAGCTCAGGCAGTGTCTTGTGATGGTCTTCTGGCCAGTAATACCCTCCTAGCCCATCAGTCCAGCACCCTCCGCTTGGACCAGACACTGAGCAATACAGCTCTCACCCACTCACCACATCTTGATCATATGCCTCTCCCTTTATGGGTTTTGGGGGTGCCTCAATTTGGGAAGCATTTATCCCATAGCTGCAGCTGATGCCCACCCTCCCCATCTGTGAGATGGATGCAAAAAGGAGTGCTGAGACAGGAAGGACTCAGTAAACTTCAAGTGATGCTTTATTGTCTCACAAGCATGAGGATTCCAAGCAGACAGAAAGCAGCCAGACCCCAATTCCTATCAGCAACCCCCTCTGAGTTTTTCCTGGGTCCTACACGGAGACTCAATCCCTGTCTGGTGTACAGCGGTCCTGGTCCTTGTGGCTGATGCGATGGGCGTCATCGGCCACCTTGGCCAAGACAATGGTGAACTCCTCGAAAGTCAGCTCTTTGTCCTTATTCAAGTCTGTCTCTTTGAAGAGCTTCTTCAGGTACTCAGGGTTGTTCCTGCCCTGAAATTGGGGGAAACAGGACATGTGTTAGCATGGCCCCTCCCTGGGCTACACACCCACCAGTGGAAACCAAGCCAACTTTATTTTTGCATGACCTGAGAAGAGTTTGGAAGCTGCAGGATCGTTGTGACCCTCTCCTACCTTGCAGTTAGTCCCTAGTTAAAACCCCAGATGGACAAGGTCTTGTCCCAAACCCCTTTGGCTGCTCCAAACCCCTGCAGTGGCAGGAGGAATGAGTGCGGATGGTCTCTCAGCATGTGGGGTCTGATCACAGAAACCCACCCTATGGACCACAGCCCTCAGTGGGGACTGCACCCCATTTCCCCAGGAGCATCACTGGAGGCAATCTCATCCTTATACCCCCCAAGGAGACCACCCCTCCGTGGAGCACATCACAGCTCCTGTGGCACTCACGCAAACTTGCAGGAAGTTTGGTGCCTGCTCAGTCAGCAGTGTCTTGAAGTCACCGAAGCTGAGGAGGTCGAGCTCGCCCTCCCGGATGCTGTAACGGTGGTAGACTTCCACAATGGCTTTCAGGGCCATCTCCAGCGTGCAGTTTCCAGGGAACTTCCTGGTCTCGGGAAGGGTGGATGAGGTCTGGGTGCTTGCAGACATGGTTGAGCTCTTGAGGTACCAGCGGAAACTGTGTGGAGAAACCTCAAAGCCATGAGATGCATCAAAAAATCCAGCACCCCATACTCTGCTCTTGGCCCCCAAGTTGTGTTCACCTCCCCAGCCTGGCAGAAGATCTGAACCAGGAGCATTGTCTCTCCGGGGCTGAGCAAACCAGCAGTACCCAATGTGCCCAGGGGCAGCCGGCGGCTCCTCAGTGCTGAGCAGGTAATAAGTGGTTTTAGGAATATCACTGTTTTATTGCCCAACCACCTCCAATTTTTAGCTTAGCCCAAGAAGCAGCTTGTTCTTACTGATCTGGAGGCATCTGTCAGGCAAGTTAAACAAACCCATCAGGCTGGAGTCGCATATCTATACCGTGCCACCAACAGCGAGGATGGCTTTGTGGCAGGGAGCACAGTTCAGGTACGGGCTCCATTGCAGCCTTTTCCTGACCTTCTCCTCCTCCTCTCTGTGAATCTCCCCCTCTTTGGGCTGCAAACCCTTTTTCATGGCAGACACTGAGCACAGAGACCCTGCTCTCTGCTGAGTGCCACCATGCAGGTGACACCCCGCAAAGGGCATTCTCCTTGCCAGTGGAAACCATGATGCCTCCACTAAAGGTGGCACAGAAATGCCATTAATTTATACTTGTCTCATTATCGCCAGAACCAGCCTCCTACCCTGCCCTGAGTAGAAAGCATCACCCTGGAATAAAACAGGCATGGCATGAAGCGCCGTACTCAGGATGGCTTCTCCCTCATCTTATTTCCCGCAAGAACCACTGTGGTGTTACTTACCCGTATCTCCAAGAAGAGTTTGCGGAGAATGGGTCTGTTGTGGTGATCCAAGAGCCTGGGCAGACCTTTTATACATGTCTGAGGTCCTGTTTCATCACAGGTGGTGACACACCTGCTGCAAGCAACAGCTTGAGTTCACATTTCCCGTACCTGGAAATTGCAAGGTGGGAACT